AGAGCGGCTGGCTGTCCCACCCAGTTGCCTTCTCTCACTTTCCTCCTATCCTGCTTCTCTGTGGGAAAGTTCCCGGAGTTTTTGTTTCCTTCACTTCTCTTCCACGTCTCTCTCCTCTCTGCAAACATGCATTGATACATAAAATTTAACATTCGGGTAAAACCCCCCAAAGGTTCTGAATCTGACCACAGCTGCCGATAGCCCCACCCCCACCCCCAACACAATGCATATACTTCTTGAGGTGAATGCAAGCACTTGCAGATTTGGAAAGCCCCGCACAGACGCCTGCCACTCCCATAAGCAAGCCTCTGCTCTTAGTGGATCCCCAACCACCTTCTCGGTTCCCACTCATCAGGAAGTTTCTGTGTGAGTAGGACACACCGGGTACGGTGACCCACCCTGCCTCTGTCCTCGGGGTTTTACTACAAACCAAAGGAGGCAGGCACTCTTAAAGAGACGAGGATGAGTTCAAGGTCACAGTGGGGCATGTGTGGTGTGATGGGATGTTGGGGGGGGGGCAGCCTCCCTGAGGGCCGACTACGGAGGGAAACATGGGGAAAAAAAGCTTAAGTCCTTAAAAGAAGAAAAAAAAAAAAAAAAAAGCATGTCCTTTAGAGGAGAACATGGAGGGTACCACACTGCACCCCAAAGTGTCCCGCCATTTAGATGGGTACAGTCACCCCGGCAATGACTTAGTAGTTGGCCCCTAAACCCATCCATCTTTTAAGAACTCTGGGCCTGGAAGGCTGGAGAAAATGACAATCCCCTTCTTGAGACTTTGATAGCAACCAGTTACAACACGGAGCTCAGTCCGGTAACCCTCCTGCTTGAGCGGAGTCGTGAAAGATGAAGCAGAGGCTGGTTGTGATGGAGAGGAGGCCTGAAACCTGGCTGTCGGGATAAAGGAGTAAACCTACCAACAGCTCCCTCTCCAGGGCACCCCCCCCCCCCAGAATAGTCAGAACAGTTGGAAGCCTCCTGGTACCATAACCAGCAGCTGCAGACTGGGCTTGCAGCGAGCTGTGCAGACTCAGAAGGTGAGGTTCTTTTAAGAGGTTCACCTTTCCAAGCTTCCTTATGGCAGCTGGGGGAC